AAAATAATGTCTAACACCAAAATTTTGAGTGAGAGAGTAAGCGTTGAGAGTAAAACTGGTATTTCAGTAAGTAACACCTTCTCTAAGCTAGCTCCGGTATGAAACGCCTTGCGCGCATCTAATTATTGTATTTGCATTTTATAATTTCTCAATTTGTGGTGTGATTCTAAGACCCTACGCCTATAAATTTAATAATTTTATTAGAGGCTTGTAAAAGGAGTCGGCTTTTAGTAGGAAACCTAAATTTAGTGGTTGAGCTAAAGCTACAGTAAGGAAGAAAGACCAAGGTGAAGGATGGTTAGTGTAATCTAAACACGATCAGGAAGAGGCAAAAGGATGAAGGATCGGAGAAGAGGTAGGAGAAAGCAATGAATGGCACAATAATGAAGTTGGACCAAGTCCGTGTTGGAAAGGTGACCAATCAAAAAATGTCGAGGAATAGGGGATTTGCAGTCGGCGCTTCGCCAACCATTCCTCCTGGTAAAAGGAGTTGGCAAAATCAAAATCAAGGGCCTAAAATGTTGATTTAAGTGAAATAATCGATATATACTTTTCTAAACTGTGCTTTGCGAGCTACGGAAAAGTGAGGGACTAGATGATGGGGATAAGGACATGGACCTAGAAGAGTGGGCATGGCAGACAACACAGCTAAGGAAGGACGAATAAAGAGGTGAGTCGGCGTTTAGTGAAGAGCGAGTAACAAGACTAGACGAGGGAAGAATGAAACGACAGTCGGGCCGATGGCGGCAAGAGGAGTGACGGAGTGAATCGAACTCTAAAGGAACACACTACTAGAAGGAGTCATCTCGGGCGAACCTGTCCAGACAAGTGAAGGAATCTGTCGGATAGAGGAATCTAGTATATTGAGGAAGACAGTCGAACAAAAAAGGCGGCATGACTAGAGTAGTCGATCTAGTAAAGGATGAATGGGTGTGCACTCAGTTTTTACGAGAAGAGCCGGATGGCTGAGAGAGTTGGTTGAGGATCCGGAGAGTTGGATGGCGGAGAGAGCCAGTCATTGAGTAGGATAGCTGACCGACTATGGAAATTAGCCCAATTAAGAGCAGTTGGATGATTGAGGCATCCATTCTGCCCAAGAGGAGGGGGAATCGACTGGTAAAAGGAGGCATTTAGTTGGAGAAGTCAGATGACGAGAATAACTCCAATACTCAGCAGTGAGTGGAGTAATGAGAGCAATCAATGAGGAGTTAATAGCAATGATGAATTTTTTTTATAATTAGAATTTTTATTGGTAAAATCATGAATTTTCTAAGATATTGATATTATTAAGGATCTCATCGAAAACTTACAGCAGTCTGCCAAACAAAAGCTAAGAGAAAAAAGAGCACAAGTATGACTGGCATAAAATCTACGATTGGATTCAAAAAATCATAGGCTTCGGGCAATTTGCCGAAGAAAAGACTACTCGAATAAAGGGCAGGATTAAGACAGATCAAACTAAAGATCTTAAGCATAACATACATTTTTTGTTCTTGGAGAGATTTGCCTTTTGATTAATTTATTGATATAAGGAAAGGGGGAGTAAGTACGGTAGGCAAAAACTACTTCTTCCTCTTTTTGCTCTTTTTGTTTGAACCCCCATAATAAAAAATTCTCAAGGAGAATCGCAAAAATCATACTTTTATACAATATCTTAATTGAATTCTATGTAATGATCAATATGCAATGATCAATCAATTCAATTGAATTCAATATCTACACATATTAAACTACGCATCTCAAAAGCCTAGTAACAATCGAATCGATTCTATAGATATTTGAAATCGAGTTGACAAACAACCAATACTTACTTTAATTTTTATAAGTGCCGAGGACAAATCGAAATGGGGCATCGCCAAGTGGTAAGACCAGCTGTTGGAGAAGACGGTTTGGCGCAGGAAAAGCGGGAAAAAGGCGGAGTACTCTCATGATTAAGGGATTTATCGCCTCATTTATGATATTTATAGTAGGCTAAGCATTTCACTCTTCTTGTACATGTATAAAAACCCTATGAATGCTTAGAAAAAAGGGGTTGAAAATCTGAATATACACGAGAGTTGAGAGAAAGTAGTTTTTCGACAAAACAATTAACTTTTCCGGTAATGTTGGACTGCTGACTGATTGCTCCGGTGGTCATAAAACTTACTATGCGCATTATTTCCGAAGAGACAATTCTATGCTTTCCTCCCCCTTCAATCATGTTCTCCATTTCTCATTCTTTCTCCTCCTCTTAAATTCGTTGCTGGAGATTCCTTTAGGACTAATGTTGTCGAAAAGGACAATTGTGCAGCTAACCTCGCTAATGGAGTCGCAACATATCAGGTACTCATACCCACTTCTCACAACCATCATGTTCTACTCAATGAACTTTCTATCTTTACTCTCTCATTTTTACACAATAAGGTGGTAAGTGATGATAAGTTATCTTCATCCTACAAGTTTCAAAAAATAATGTCTAACACCAAAATTTTGAGTGAGAGTAAGAGTTGAGAGTAAAATTGGTATTTTCGTAAATAACACATTTTCTAAGCCAGCTCCGATACGAATTTCCTTGCGCACATCTAATTATTGTATTTTCAGTTTATAATTTCTCAATTTGTAGTGTAATTTTAAGACCCTACGCCTATAAATTTAATAATTTCATTAGAGGTTTGTAAAAGGAGTCGACGTTGGTCAACATCGTCTCCTTGTAAAAGGAGTCGGCGCTCAGTAGGGAACCTAAATTAAGTGGTTGAGCTAAAGCTACAGTAAGGAATGAAGACCAAGGAGAAGGATGGTTAGTGTAATCTAAACATGATCAAGAAGAGGCAAAAGGATGAAGGGCCGAAGAAGAGGTATGAGAAAGCAATGAATGGCTCAATAATGAAGTTGGACCAACAGAAAGGTGATCAATCAGAAAAGATCGAGGGATAGGGATTTGCAGTCGGCACTTGGCCAATAGTGCCTCCTGGTAAAAGGAGGCGGCAAAATGTGTCAAAATCGAGGGTCTAAAATGTTGATTAAAGTGAAATAATCGATATATACTTTTCCGCATTGTGTTTTGCGAGCTATAGAAAAGTGAGGGACTAGACGATGGAGATAAGGATATGGACCTGGAAGAGTGGGCATGGCAGATAACACAGCTAAGGAAGGACAGATAAAGAGGTAAGTCGGTGTTTAACGAAGAGCGAGTAACAAGACCAGACGAGGGAAAAACGAAACGACAGTCGGGCCGAAGACGGCAAGAGGAGTGACAGAGTGAATCAAACTAAGACGGAGCGGACTACCAGAAGGAGTCATCTTGGGCGAACGAGTTCAGACGAATGAAAGAATCAGTCAGATAGAGGAAGCTAGCATATTGGAGAAGACGGGCGGACAAAAAAGGCGGCCTGACTAGAGTAGTCGATCTAGTAAAGGATGAATGGGTGTGCACTCGGCTTTTACGAGAAGAGCCGGATGGCTGAGAGAGTCGGTTGAGGAGCCGAAGAACCAGATGGCGGAGAGTGCCAGTCATTGTGTAGGAAAGTTGACCGACTGTGGAAACTAGGTCGATTAAGAGCAGTCGGATGTTTGAGGCATCCAGTCTGCCCAAGAGGAAGGTGAATCGACTAGTAAAATGAGGCAGTTAGTTAGAGAAGTCGGAGGACGAGAATAACTCCAACACTCAGAGGACGAGAATAACTCCAACACTCGGCAGTGGGTGGAGTAATGAGAGCAGTCAATGAGGAGTTAATAAAAATGAGGAGGCCAGTCGTTGGAGAAGACGGTTTGACGCATGAAAAGCGGGAAACAGACGGAGTACTCTCATGATTAAGGCATTTATCGCCTCATTTATGATATCTATGATAGGATGGGCGTTACACTCTTCTTTTACATGTATAAAAGCCTATGAAAGCTTAGAAAAGGGGGTTGATAATCTGAATATACACGAGGGAGTTGAGCGAAAGTAGTTTTCCGGCAAAACAATTAACTTTTCCGGTAGTGTTGGACCGCGGACTGATTGCTCTAGTGGTCATAAAACCAACCGTGCGCATTGTCTTACAATTCTAATGCTCTCTTCCCCTCCAATCAGGTTCTCCCTTTCTCATTCTTTCTCCTCCTCTTAAATTCATGGCTGGAGATTCCCTTAGGACTAATGTTGTAAAAAGGACAGTTGTGCAACTAACCTCGCTAATGGAGTCGCGACATGTCAGGTACTCAGATCCACTTCTCACAACCATCATGTTCTACTCTATGAACTTTCTATCTTACTCTCTCATTTTTACTCAATGAGGTGACAAGTGATGATAGGTTATCTCGCTAATGGATTAGCTAATTTGAGTTTTGTGTGTAATAAAGGTAGCTTAATAGGGTATTTATTTTGGGGGTTATGAGGGGTTTTAGGCGGTTTGACCCGGTTCCTATACTCGGTATTCATCACCATTCATTGAGAATATTTTTCTCTAATTTATATCATTGAGGCCCTGTTTAGTTCGCGGAAAATATTTGAGGGGAAATGGAATTGAAATTACATGGAAAAGAAATTATCGAGAAGATTAATTACATTGTTTGGTTGGTAGAAAATAAATTACTAGAAATATCGATTTTTGGTTGAGTTTAAAATTGTAAGAAATAATAGGTATAAAGACAATTATATCCCTACATAATACGGAGTAATAACAACAATAATAATAATTACGAAAAGTTAGTGAAGGCATAATTGTCCTACTTATTTTTAAAGAAAATATTTTTCATTCAAAACAAAATACCCAAGGGAGACCATGAAAAATATTTTCCATGCACCAAACAAAGGAAAATATTTTCCATTAAAAAACATTTTTCATGAACCAAACATGTCCAAAGTGTCAACTAGAATTGGGTGACTCCACAACTTGTTGTAATAAAAGATAGAAAAGCAACATTTGGGAGGAGTGAGTAATGAATATTACTTGTAGTAATTACATTAAAAATAAATTTTGTTACTGTAGTCTATTTACAGAAATGAAAATGTTTTATTTGATGGAGCAGTCAGAATTTGAAATCTAAAACGAGTTCATCTCAAGCGTGTAACTCCTTTTCAATTTCACCAATTTGTTTGCAGCTTCCGCAAATAGCCGCCTTCTTCCATCTACTTCTAGTCCTAGTTCTTGTTCCGCCTTCCTCACCAGTTGAGTAACTTGGCCACTGTCCTCCTGCTCCGCCGGACGTATCACCACCAGCGTAGCCCCTTTCATCACGCACCCTGCCTCCGCCACCTCCATCTCCGCCGCAATCCACATCTTTATCTTCAGCGCCGGCACTCTCCTCCGATCATCCGCCATCACCTCGTCCTTTGTCTTCTCCTTATACCTCCTCAGTTCTTCGATTTGCTTCGCGTTCATGGTGAGTCTCCCCTGGCCCAACTCGTCCGTAACCGTCACACTCCGAACGGTCCGGTGATCGTTCACCGCCTCCAGTAACAAGCTGTGCCGCGCAGTGGCAGCGATCAGGCACGAGATCGTCCAGAAAATCCTCAGTTTCAGGTCTTCGTTCTCAGGAACTCGCAATTCTTCTTCTTCTTCTTCTTCTTCTTCTAAGGCTACACTAGTGCAATTCCTGGGAATAGGAGAAATCGACGTCCCTCCTACGATGACGCAGCTCTGCAATTCACTCCCGAACTGTGCTGTCCATTTGAGCGCGGATCCGTCTCTGACGCAGGATTCATGTCTCGGTAGCCTGAGCTCCAGTCCCCGAATTTCACTGAAATTCCGCAGAATATAAGCCGGCGAATAGTAATCGTAAGCGGTGAGTAGGGTTTCCCTACAGGTACATCGGGTGGCGGAAGAGAAAGGGGACTTGGATATAAGAGAACGAAACGGACGAATGAGGAATTTAGTAGCAAACGCAAGAAGCGAATTAGCCTGCGTCTGCCTGGCCCTGCCGGAATGGGAAGCAGAAGCGGGAGGAATGGACAGGAGAAGGGAATGCGTTTGAGGGGCAAGAGAATGGAAACGCTTGCAAATGGCGGTGCACACCGACAGGGATTTGGCATCGCGCAATGTTTCGAAGATTTGCAACACGACGTCGTCAGGCAACCTATCAAACGGCGAATCACCAGTCGGATCCCACATTTTCATATCGGTGGAAGATGAATGTTAATACTTTATAGTAGCGGTCTGGCATCGGAATTGAATGGTGGTTTTCGTTTTCGTTTTCTAGAAGGCGGCGGGCCGGGGGGAGTTAAGTTAAGAAAAGTTGAAGTCAAGTTGCGCACGCGGTCGTGGAGGAACTGGATTTGGAATTTTTTTTTTTAGGTGTGAGGAACAGTGAGCTGTTAGCAGAAAGTTTTCACACAATGTGCTTAGATGACATGTAATGGTCTCTTTCAAGTGAGAGGTGCCTCGGTGGAAGCTTTTTTGTGTGCTTTATTAAGTTGAGAAAGTATGTTTGAACAGATACTATAATGTAATAGAGTCAATAGTATTCAGAAAAAAAAATGTCCAATGAAATACTAATAGAGGCAATAACATTAAAAAAAAAAATAGAATAAATATTCGAGTGGATGGGAATGGATCCCATCCCTAATATTCAAATTAGTTTTTATTTATTACTCCGTCCGTATTATAGTAATATGTTGCGCGGACTGCTTCTTCCTCTCTTCTCGCTGACTGCCACCCAAATCCAAGCCTTTTTTTTTTCTTTGGATCAATCGAAACATGCTTTATTTTTCTTTGAATCAATTAAAGTATGTTTCGTTACTAAGAAAATAATGAGAATAATATTATTCATTATTCCAGAAGACTGAACCCCAAAGAATAATATTATTCATGTTTACACTCAATGAGGTGACAACATTATATATAGCATTGACTTTTTAAAAGTTAATTCTCCAATTTAGTCTTGATTATAATTAAATGTCAAAATTTGCCCACAGATTTCTTTCCAATCAAAGGGGGAAGATCTAATTTATCAATTCCTCACCAAATTCAAAACAGCCTTCGTGGTTATAGTATGGTGACACTTAGGTTCTTATAACAACAAAATGAAATGAAATGAAAGATTAATTAAATATGACTAAATTAAAGACTAAATACTGAATATGAAAATATAACTATACTTAAAAGTATAATTAATATCAATAGAATTACATACAAATATTTAATTTAAAGATGACCATATTTCACAAACAGATTCGAGTCAAATAAAATTAGTTTCACGGTAGTGAAGAATCGCATGTTGGATGCAGATATATGAAGCTCTTGAAAATTAGGTACATGGTTTGATTACTTGAACCCATACCCATGCCTGCAAATGATTCAGTAGCAGAAAAGCTTATCGATATGGCATCAATATTGGAATCATCATCTCTCCAAAATTATAAAATAATTTAAAGGTATAAAAACAAGCCGGAGAGAATCCACAATTTTGTGTAATACGGAGTAATTAACAAACTAAAACTTATGTAAATTATTATACACATATATTCCCCTCCCCATATGGAAGGGAATATGATTCGTATGAAGGAAGGAATCAAAGATTCAAAATACTCCTCACCCACTGTATGTATGTCTTTTTACTTATTCACAATTCAATTTTATGTATCATTTAATTTAGTATTAGTATATAAAATTTAAATATTTAATAACTATGGAGTACATTAAAAGCACCCAAAAAATTGAATTTAAATATTATAAGAAAACATTAAAGAAAATAAACAAACAAGAGTTAATTTAACAAATAAATAGTAAATCAAACAGGTAAAATTAGAGTATACAACAAAAGGAAAACAATCTTATTTTAATAAGTAAACTATTTTAAAATGTGAATGGGAAATTCCACATCAATCGCCCTCTTCTTTCCCAAAAATAAATAAATAAATAAAAGGAGAAAAGAGAAGTGTTTCTAATGAATTTTACAAAAAGGAGACTCTAATCTATTTTAATAAAAAGAACTTCACAAAAGGCTCTATTTGGACCAACTTGTGGCTTTTGAATCAAATAAACTGCAGGCCACAAAAGTACATACCAAACTCCTAATATCATAAGGAGCTACTTAATTCCATTTCAATCATAGATTTACAATTGACCGAAATACTCTTGTATTTAACGTCAACGGAAGACCAAAAATGGTCATGCCACAATAATACTAAGATCAACGGGGATGTTCTGAAAAAAGACTAAAAGCGGAATGATAGTACTTATAAATCTAGGATTTATCTCTACCAATAAAATAGACATGCTCAGATTAAGACCAAATAAAGGACCAATTTCAAAATTTAGCAGCAGTGTAAACAGACTAGGATTTGAGAACAAGAGAACTGGGGAAAATTCTTGCATGCATTTGAGCACTTCAATCTGAATGCCACTCATTTGGTCCAATAGCATGCAAGGATTTCTTGGGAATAAATATAGTGATAAGCAACCTATCATAGCAATTATCACATTTTATGTCAGAAAGATCTTATAAACGTACCTGATTTGAGGAGGCTTTCTGGATGTAGAACACTAAAAATTTGCATTGGATTGATTACAATCTGTGTGGAACAATCATCCTCCGCGTTACACTGTAGAAGTAGAACTGCTTACCAATAACACATGAAAGGACAGTAAACCAATCAGCAAAAATAATCATCTACCTATCTGATAGTCTTACTGCAAATGTCAATAAATATACAAACCATGGAGCTGGACATCTGAGCCAACGACCTTACTTTCAACTAAGTACACTGCTCAGTGCATATACAAAACCAGACGTAGAAATCACATTCAATAATAATTTAGATATTTAGACAGCCCAAATGACTAGATACATATGATCAGCATCTCTGAAAGGAATGAAAGCACAAGAAAATTTGAGAAAACTCAGCATTATTTAGGACTATTGAATGGGAAAGAATAATGTCAACATTTAATAAACAAAATTGCATGATATACAGTTTCTTGCCTGTTCGTGCAAAGCATAGTACATGCATTATCTTTCCCAATAGGTCTATTAAATGAACTAGGGAAATCCTTAGCCTAGTGACTATATACGTCAAAAAAAAATTGTGATTTTGCATTTATCTATGATGATTAAAACAAAAAAAAAAGCCTTTATGTCAACGAAGCTCCAAGTTCCATCTATTTCATTCACTATCTCTGCAGATGTTGAAGGGCTTTCAAATTCCTGCTTCCACCTTGAAAATGAAACAGCCCCCTTAGTTTGATCAGCTTTAAAATAGAGGAAATCTTGGCCAAGGAATCGGCAAAAAAAATGTGTTCCATAAGCCAACATAACTCCAAAGATCATTGAAGTACAAAGCAACTAGCACCACAAACAAGGCTGCATGTTTCCTTAAGATGGATCATTCATGAATGCTCCCATGTCCAGTAAAAAGGGTTATTTGATACCAGATGAAAAACCTTGTCTTTGTGAAAAGCCAGATTGATGCATCCTGAAAGGCCTTCCATTGTTAGGCGCAGCACCCAAAATCCCAGAAGATGAGTTTGGTTCAGGTACTCTAACACCGTTAGTAGGCCTTTGATAATGTGGCTGAAATTGGGAATGGGCATCACTTTCTGCCCTTTTCCTTCTTTTCCATGCCTCAAATTTCTCTGTGTCAAAACCCTTATTTATGAACCCAGATGCAGAACCATTCATTTGTGAAGGTCCAACTCCTGATACTTGTTGCTCCTGTTTGAGTTTAGAATAAATCTGCTGAAGTCTCTCGCCGGATAAATTTGAAAATGTTGACACATAATTCCATAATCGCGTGGTCATCCCTATAAAATAAATTGTCCATCAAAATATTGTAAACAGGACAGAGAAATCATGTGTAAAAGCAAAAAGATAAAAACTTCAATATGCAAACCGGTGGTCATTAAATGTACAAGTTAAACAAATGCTAGACAGATGAGAAGGCCTTACTTTCTTGTTTATATGATTCCTGTGCATATTCAAAAACTATTTGATCAATCCTCCGGCCAAGAAGCTGAAGGTAATTCCGAATTTTGGATAGCACCTGATGTGAGATATATGTTAAGAGCAGTTCAGCTCACAAACTAAAATGCAAAATTATAAGAAAACATGGATAGCAATACCAATTAATGTTTACCTTCTCCTTTGGAAGATCTGCACTGGTGGTCTGCAGTTTCTGAAGACGCTTGAGTGTCTTCTCCTCCTCAATCATCACATCTTCACACCATTCCATCCATTTTCCTTCCTTAAATTGTTTGTACACTTCTTCATTGTCTGACATTTCACCCTCCTCTTTAACCAACTGCTCAGTCTTCTGGGGCTTTTGAGCCAAACCTCTGTTACTGGGTTTCCCATGTTTAGCTTTTGAGTGAGGTGCTGTGATGTTGGGAAGACTGTCCTTCTGCTTCTTGTTACCCTTGCGGCCCGCTTTGACATTAGGATTCTTGCCACCAACAGCAGCAACTTCCTGGTGTCGAGATAGTAATTTAAAAAAACATAAGCAGGCATTTCACATCCATCTCCAAACACATAGAAGGGGGCGAGTAAGATCTCAAACTTAGTAATCAAGGAATTACAGAAAGGACTGGACTGTAATGTGAAAACAATGGACTGAATACAACAAATGTGTCCAAAGATAATAATTATGATTTTGGGATTGTTGTAACTAACATATTATCCACATTAAACCAAAGGCATGTCAAACAACCTAGTCAGCTATACCCTGGGCAGCAGTGCAGACCTAGGTCCTAGTAACTTTGCAATGCAATCTTCATTCTCTAAGATGAAATTAAAAATAATAGGGAGTTCAGTGATCTGTTACACCTTTAAAGCATGACAGAAACATATACGGAGTAATAATTGCCAAATCACAGCAGAAATTCATGCATACCACCACCAATCAAAAACATTCCAAATGAAATCTTCAATATTTATGATAATCGAAACTCTTTTTTAGTTTAGTAGAAATGTAGAATTTTGCAACAGAATTCTGTTAACAAGAACAAATGATGCATCTTCAAAATAGTAACGATGACAGATTTCATGGTACAAGATTTTGGAAATAGTTGGCTAAGCATTATCATTTTCAAGTTCTGACAGCAGGCATAATGAAGAATCCGAGGTTTGGACTGCAGGAATAAGTAGAATCCAATTAATTTTCTTTATTCAAAAATGAAAATTTTACCATCTCTAAGAGTTGAGAAGCTCGTTCCTTCAGCTGGGGAGCTCGAGGTAAGAAAGTCTCATGATGTTGAAGTTCAGCAGGAGCAATCTTCTTTGTAAGACCAAGCTTCTCATCCAACCGTATCTTCTCCCAGTTTCCAAATCCATGATAATGAATTCCCAAAAGCAATCTTGCATCATCCTCTAGAAAGAGGGATAAGTTTTAACACCCAGTTGTGAATCAAGTATTCACCAAACTAGAGGAAAACAAAAAAAAAAACAAAAACTAAACCAGCACAGAACAGTACTTACTCTGGTTCCAGCCACAACCTTTAGACCAGGTAGCAGGTTTCAGATAAGCAAGTGCTCGAAATTGTGAGATGGGGTCATCATACCTACTAATGCGCTTTGCTAGAAGCTGAAGCTCTTCGACACGGCTTAGTAGTTCATCAGCTTTTACAGGGATACCAAAAAAATCTAACAGAGGCCCCTAAAGGTAAAAGGTGCATCAAGTGTTAGTCACACAGAACAAGCAATTCTTATTTTCCTCCTAAAATAATCAAAAGTAACAACCAGACCTTTGGATCCATAATTTCTCCCTTTACTGCTTCTCTACTGCCATCAATCAAAGAATCAAAAAGTTCAATCTGGGCTTCAGTTGGAGCCGCTTCAACAGCCCCACCAACTTCTGCAGCTATTAAGGTAATTTGGCTATCATTACCAAACTTCTTGACCTAATTGAAGTAAAGCATAAGTCAAAAGAATAGTTTAGTCAACACACAAAATAAGAGATTAAACCAACAAATTGTTTAAGTGCATGAAAAGCATCATAGGTTGGCCATACCACACGAGAAAAACGTGTGGCATCTCTCTTTGACAAGTTCCCATAAGACCATCCTCTTACTTGAGCAGCAGCACCCTCAATTGCTGGAGCTGAGTAACCAGTATCTGCCTTGCGACGTTTTGGGAATCTTTCCTGGGCCTCAGTGCCCCTTTTCTTTCTTTTATTAGTTTCAACCAGAGGGTTAGTTTCTGCATAACTCTTAATATTTCGAGCAGCTCGAGGAGCCAAGGCTTCCTGAGACACAAGGAAAAAGAAAACTATCAGTCCAGCACTATTGAAGAGTTGCCTATCAGTAAATCTGAATTTTACATACTTCAGCTTCTGCAATGGCTTCAGGTTTTATCCACCTACTCCAAAATGTAGCATCATCTTCAGCACCACAGAAATTAGCAACCTATAGAGAGAAGGAAAAAGACATAAATTACACGGAATATATTAAGACAATATATTAAACCTAATTAAAACCATTCCTTCAACACCTAGCAGGATAACAAATGAAGAAATGAGGGAGCAAAAAAAAAATGAACCTCAACTCTAGTTTGAATATTCAAAACAGAAAAGCAACTGAGAAAAAGATTAAAAAGTTTTAATCAAATCATCTCATGGATAAAACGGAGCAACTCGTTTCCTTGCCTTAAAAGCACCGAGCAACTCGTTTCCTTGCTCTTCATCAGCACCCTTCTCTTCAACTTTCTCTGCTCGTTCAAGAATCTCATCGATATCCATACTAAGAAGCCTCTTCTTGCTCTCTTCATCATTTTTATCCTCCTTAAATAGTTCTTCAGCTCCAAACCGTAAGATTGCAGAGAGCTCATTCTGTGTCATAGAAGGCAAAGAGTCAGAGCCAAGAGAACCAGAGGGTTACAAGAGCAATATCAATCAATTGAACTTTAAACATAATGAAGCAAGTTATTCAGCTGCTTCCATCCTTACTTTATCAAAGAGACCTCCTTTCTTGGATTCCTTTTTCTCTAATCTGCCTTCAGCATTCAGCTTTTGTATCACTAGATGGTCAAGAACCTAACAAATAATAAACAAAACTGAAAATTCATAAGACATGCAATATTATGTCATCAATGCTCAGAATCAGCAGGAAAGTACAAGTATATAAGAAACAGTTGAGCACATACAGAAAAACATATTGTGGTTATCTTACAGCATCAAATAAAGAGCACCAATTGTAAAATGATGGATATAAATGTCATACCATCTTCTTTTTGGCACGCTCCAAGATATCTTCCTCTACACTTTTGCTTGTAACAAACCGGTAAATGTTGACAACTTCTTGTTGTCCTATCCTATGAGCTCTACTCATAGCCTGATGAATAAAATGGCATATAAACAAAAGACCATATTTAATAATTATAGAAGTTATTCTTTAAAAAAATATGACAATAAATCATCTTTAGAATTTCATTAGCCCAGATGCCAATACTAAAATTGTCAAGAGTAAAAATTCAGTGTACCTGTAAATCATTTTGAGGATTCCAGTCAGAATCAAATATAATAACTGTGTCCGCTGTCGCAAGATTTATACCCAAGCCACCCGCACGAGTCGAAAGAAGAAAACAAAAATCTTCACTACCCAGAGCATTAAAATGGTCCATTGCTTGCTGACGCAACTCAGCCTTTGTACTACCATCAAGTCTCTGAAATTGGAAACCCTTGAGTGACAGATACTCTGCCAATATATCCAACATCCTAACCATCTGAAACAAGAATCAGAAACCAACTTTTTAAGAGAACAGATGAAAAGCCAAGAATGCTTTAAAATCTAAGAAGATAACTGCTTTACTATTCCAGGTTCTTGGAAAACATATCAATGCAGTCCATGGCACACACATGGAAATGAAAGTTCAAAGGCATGATGACTTATAGAAACAAATTTGAACTCACAATACAACAATAGAAGTTTATCCTAAGACAATAAGCATAGAACAGCTTTACCACATGTAAAAAAGTTTATTTTTCCAACATTCCTACTCGTAGTTCACCATTTAAAGAATAAGTTGGAAAGGGAATGGAAAAATGGAGTTAAAAGAAAGTGGAAAATTTTGCCACACTATCCTTTCACTGCCCAAACTAGTTTAGAGCATAAGAATATTTTTTTTAATCGAAACAATACTTTCTATTGCGTTTTACAGACACAATTCAAGAGAATCTGCAACTAAAATTTCTCAATATCATTGGAGCTTTCGCTAGTAGTGATATTACAAACCTGAGAAAATATTAATACACGGTGCTTTGTTTCATGTAATCTGTCAAGCAGTTTGTCAAGTATAACTAGTTTCCCACTGCTCAGGATTACTCTTTCCAGTTTAGTGCTACCAAAAAAGTTGGCATCCCCACCATAACCATGGTCAGCACTTTCAAACAGAAATGGATGATTGCAGCACTTTTTCAATTCCACAACAATGTTCAGAAGCGACACCTACACAGTTTTCAAGGTCAGATGCATTGAGAGTTCCTCATATTAAACAAAATCAAAATGTGGCATAAGGCTTGCATTCTCAACTTCATATCATATAAGTAATAGATATGGTGATGATCAGGGAAATTATCGATGTTTTTGTATTTGGAGAATTTGGAAAACTTTTATTGTTTTTCATATTACTCTGTTCAGTTCGAAAATTAAAGGAATCTCCAGTATTTTTTTTTTTTGTTTTTGTTTTTGGAAAACAGTTGATTGTGAACAGAAAACTCTATTTTCCATATTTCCATGAAACAGGAAAATTCTCCAATAACTAATCAAGCTCAAAGAATTTCCAAGAATAAATGGTTCATATTACACTCCCAGTTTATCTACCAATGATATAAAGAAACTAAGAAAACAATGCCTCTCCACGGGCACTTTTGGTATATGTATTTTTCTAGCCAAAAGCTGCAAGCAACAATTAAAGTAACCGACTGCAACAACATTTTTCCTTCATTTCCTTGTGGCAAGCCAAACAATAATCTTCAATTTCAAACAAACTTGGGAAGAGCTTCACCATATGGAAACAAACAGCATCTAGAAAAGCACTAAAGGCAACATAATCCATACAAGACTTGTATACACAGTAAACTATCCAACTAACCTGATTGCCACGCACTCCTTTATTCAAGTCGTGGAAGTTGCGCTCCAAGATCCACTTATAGTACCTGCCAACAGTGAAAGGGGAATTCTAACATGAGGAAACAAAAATATAAAACCACCATTAGTTAAAAAGAGGTATCACATAAAAACAGAATAGATCATTAAAATAATTACTGTTTCTGCAGTGGTGACATCTCAACCCTAAGAATTCGCTCAATCTTAGGAGGCAAAGACTTCTCAACGTCCTTGATGACCCTTCGGAGAATATGAGGCCTCAATTCCTTGTGAAGATTAGCAAGCTAGAAGAATAATATAACACCCAAGTAAAAATTAGACAAAATCTAATAACTCCAATATCATATGCCACAAAAATGAAAGATGTAGAGGAAAGGTGCTTGATAGAAAAACCAATGGAAGGAAAAAAGAATAATATTGTGACTTGTACCTCATTTTCATTGAACGAACTAAGATTCTTGTAGTTCTGAATGAAGTCATCCTTGCTCTTAAACTTATCATGATCAAGAAAGTGAAGCAAAGCCCTGTTGAGGTCATAGTGAATATGCATATTATATACTGTTCATATAACAAATATGAAATGGACCTACTAAATTCAACCATTGTTAGAAAATAAGCATTCCAAATTTTCTCACAGGAAGCAGTTCAGAACAAATACCAATTTCAGGTCAATTATACACACAAATCAAATGGATTGAAAATTCAGATTGGTTAGTCAGTCACCCAGTTGTCAGACACTACTAATCAAATGGATTGAAAACTACCCCTAAAGGATGGGATTGCTATGTCACCAAAGATATTCAAAACAAAATACCTTTGACAAGAGCTTACAAATTAGGGTGAAAGTAAGCAAGCATACTATTGAAATTTTTTTATGAAGGCATTGAAAATGATACAAACATGCATCTAAGATGGAGTTCAAATCTTAATTAGAATCAGAATCACATACTAGAACTAATTACAAAATCAAAAATAAAAAATGAGAAATAAATGGAAGTATGAAATAATACCATAGCTCTTCAACGCTATTTTGCAAAGGAGTACCAGTGATGAGCAACTTGTTTTTGGTGCTAAATTCCTGCAGTCATAGCAAATAACTAGCATCTTAGAAGTGAAACAGCATAATATCCGAGACAAAAGGCAGTGTTTTAAAAGGTGGCGAAATGAAGTAATGTGTTTTACTTCCCAAAGGTTTAGGCATAAGCCCCAAGGCATAGGGCATAAGGGTGGCAATAACCAAGCCAAACAGATCATTTTAAACAGAATTGGCCAGTGAATTCTTTATCATCATGTACTTTCATGCATCAATCGCAGCTTCAATTCTAAAGTGGAAGAGAGAGCTTTATAACAGTGCATGAAAAATCTAAATCAGCCTCTGACAATTTAATTTGTTCTCCTTCATTATTTTACATCCACAGTGAGTCTTCCTCTTTCATACAACGTGCTTATTACTGCTTTATATGTTTGTTATATGTTAAAACAATAGAAAGAAGGTTATTGTTTCTTTTCTAGGCTCTCCTTTCTTACTTCCAACTGCATGGGTGTAAATATGACAAGACAGATGAATTCATGAAAAGGTCTTATTTTGGAAAAAGGATATATTGCAACTGAACATTGCGAATCCATCTTTAACCTAAATATTCATCATGATTTACTTGTTTCAGATAAAATTAACGTGCAAAAAGGAATGCTTTGAACCCCAAGGCATCCACTTAATTCTTCCAGGCTAAGGAGTTTGAGCAAAAAAGTTTGATTCATATTTCACTGTCCCAAGGCATTATCCCTTTGATCATTTCAAAATGTGCCCCAAAACCACCTTTATAACACTGCCCAAAAGAAAGTCAAAATCATCACCATACCAATAGTGTCGTATACAGAGAAGCCTCACTGTTTTTTAGCCTATGGGCTTCATCAACCATAAGGTAGTTCCACCTTATTTTGGACAGAACTGCCTTGTCCTTTAACAACACCTCATAGGTAGTTAAAAGAGCATCAAATCTTGTGCTACTACCAGCCTTCTTGTCATTGTAGAACTCATATTGTTGGCAGACCTGTAGCAGAATAAGAATTAGAAACAAATCAGAAAATTGTTGTAATAATAACAATAGTAAATCCCTCTGCACTTGATTAACCATGTCCTATATCAACATGAGCTTGAATACATTTTTGAAAACGGTATAAAAAGTAAGGAGCAGGGATGTCAATCTTAACCCAAAACTGATAGGCGGGCCTAAAAAGGCTGAAAAATTAATGAGATAGGGCCAAAAAAGTATACTTAACCCAATAAGAACACCAGCCCGATAAACCAAAATCAACAAACCCAATGACCCCGTAGAATAACACAACTTAATGGGCTGGGCCAAGCCACTCAAAGCTGAGTTTTACAAGTGATGCAGAACAAAATATATAGGGGAATCAGTATGTAGGCTTCTCTGTTGTCGTGGTTTTTATTATTATTAAGCTTTTAAACAAAAATTTAATAAATAAATAAATATATAAATATATATATTTAATATATTAATAAAATCTATTACAAAATAAATTATTGCTTATAAAAATAAATAATAAAAAATAAAAACTTGAGAAATTTGCACTTTTCGTGTAAAATTCGTCCCTACTTGTTGGTCGTGCTCACTTCTTGTCCCTAAGTTATAACTGACATTGCAAATTTTGTCCTTTTTCTAATAGGTCACGCTTACTTCCCATCCCTAAGCTATAACTAACATTGCATATTCCATCCCTAGTGTTTGTTAGAAAAAGGACGAAATTTGCAACGTCAATTATAGCTTAGGGACAAGAAGTGAGCATGACCAACAAGTAGAGACAAATCCTACAATTACCCTATAACTTAGGAACAAAAAGTGCAATTTTCCCTAACAACTTATTATAATTATTTATATTGTAAATGTAAATAAATTAATTTTTTCATTAGTTAATTTTTTTAAATAAAAACAAATTCATTAATATAAAAAAAAAAAAATTATTTATACACTTTATACAAATGTTCATAACTGTTATATTATGTTTTTTAGTTGGAATTTTAAATAGGCAAGTTAGATTGATTAAATGATGTTTAAGTTAATCTTTATTAATGTAAATGAGCTAGTTTGTCAAAATTGAAAGTTTAAAATGTGAAAAGTTTTAATTGAGTCCGACTGAAAAGCTCAATGGCCCGAGGTTTTAGGGTTATGGCCAAAAAAAATTTACCTAATAAGCCTAATGGCCCATGTGAGCTAGCCCAAAACCAAGTGGGATAGCCAGATTGACATCTATAATAACATAGCACGCAAAAACAAATTTAGCATGGAGATCAAAAAAATCCAACATAATTGAAACTTTAATTGGTCTATAAAATTACATATTGTAGGGATAAATCATTTTGACTTTTGAGGGACCAAGAATAGGCAAGAGTGATGAGATTGATCCTAGATCAGCATAAGAAATACCAGTGCCAAATAGAATCAAATTCCAACAGAATTAGAACACATTTAACAAACAGAAAATATATAACTCAAGCCACCCCACACACAAAAGATGACTCCAAATGAAGCCCATAATATACAACATTCAATTCAAAATCAAAGGCATGCCGCACACATCAATACTTACCTCACGGCTTGCACGAGTCCCAACATATATAATAACATTCATATTAGGTAGCCATTTCTTGAATTCTTTTGCCCAATTGGACAAAGTCGATAATGGTACAACAACAAGAAATGGACCATGAATGTGTTGTGCATTCTGCAGAAAGGATAATAACCACATCACATATACTAAATATGACACAACAAAAACACGCAATAGACAATCAAAAAAAGATACATGACTCAATACCTGAAGAAAACCTAGCATTGAAACTGACTGAACAGTTTTACCAAGACCCATTTCATCAGCTAATATAACATTTGTATCATTTCTCCAACTAAACGACAAAAATGACAGTGATCAGAAGAAAAAAGTAGTACAGAGAAGAAACTTCCCACAAAAATCACACTAATCAGAGCTCTTTTCATACCTGTTAACAAGAAAATTCAAACCTTCAAGCTGATAATCTCGAAGCTTTCCCCCCTTCAACCACTCAGGTTGTTCATCAAGTCTTCTTAAACTACCTAGAAAGTAATTTCATCAAGAGGAAATGTCATTCCATAGTACTAGAACATTTAAGGAAAAGAGGATTTTAGTAGGTGAAACGATGTAGAATGCATGGAAAGAAGCTTTGATAATGAGAGGGATTTATATTATCCCAAAAAACCTTTGCTCTTTTTCCGCTGGAAATCTACTGTTTTCCCTTGAATCATCATTGCAGCCTCACGAGCCTGCATAAAGTGTATGGATCAAAACCAAAAGCCCTATTTTACTCATTAATTTTAGAAAGATATGTAAACAAAAGCTAAGACACAGATTAAATAGAGCACACATTGAGTTGTTATCTATTTCTTCAAAAAGACATAGCACTTCAGAAAGCATGCAAAACGAGATAAAAATGTTTTAACAATATTAAGATTCAATGCCATAGCATTCACATTCCTGAGCCAAATATGTTTTCAATTCCTTTAATCCCTCGGATCAAAAAGACATAACAAAAAGGAATTTTCTAATCTAAGAGGACTTTTGCAACTTCATTTTATAAGCTCTTATAAAAATGGATGTAATTAGAGAAGTTTCATTCTGGTCAAACATGCTTTAATTCTCCCTTACACCTCAAGATCAGCTTTTACTTACCAAAAGAATACAAATAATCCTGCAAATAATTCGATCCTCAAACACCGAATAACTGTTTTGACAAATGAAATATCTAGAATATGCCCATTACACTAAAATTATGCGTATAGCATACCGTATACCAGTGGGGAGAGGGAAAAAAACAGTGTATTCATTCCATTAATATTAACAGGTTTTTTTACCTATTCAAGTACTAATTTTGGCATAAATTATTGTTAATATCATGCAGCAGAACCTTAATGCAGGGGCAACTTCTCACAGAAATTCGAATGTCTTGAGCATTTAGACAACAAGACAACGAATGATATATAATGCCCCCAAAAAAAAACCATTTTACTACATCTTCCCTATTGGTTCAGAAGATCAACAACACCCTTTCCCCAAATGATCTTCACATAAGAAGCAAAGGGTTTACAACAATCCGGAAATGCATACATTGCAGCTTCAATCAAACTCTTAATTTTTAAGGCATGTAGCAAAACCAGTCCACCTGAAGATTTGAATTAAACTGAGTTCTCTTCACCTTTTTTGCATTTGCGAGATGCAATTTTTTTTATTCTAGTTTCTACTGTTATCTCTAATTAAAAATTGTTGGCAAAAAGCAAATTTGTTGCACCCAGTATGGGAATGTATGCCAATGAACATGCAGACTCCAAATATACATGAAAACTTATACAATGCAAATGTACATAAACAAAATGTATGTATTTACTTTCACATACATGCACATGATTACATCACACACAAATGCCGTGTGACACAAAAGTATAAGATAGAGGAACTACCTTGTATTCATCAATGGCATCTTGAGCAAAAGCAATATCAGTATCCTTCTCCCTGAGATTAGAATTAGAAAAGGCATTCAAACCTCAATTGTGGGTATATACAAACCAAGACATGTATGAACATAATGAATCCTATCATTCCTATGCAATATCCAAGAAACAATTTTCTTATAGACACACTTAGCCAGTAAATCTAAAGAAACCACATGATATACCATGTCGCTTCTGCATAAGAAAGTCCTTGCCATTTGATTAAATACTCTGGCACCACATTATCTAAGCTGTCTTTTCCAATTCGGTCTGCAATGACCCTCTCAACCTGAGTACATGCCAATCATGATTACACGAAGTGTTTAAATATGAATGGAGAAGGTGTTGACAAAAGATGATCTGTAAAACAATTTACAAAAATCAAACCTGACTATTTTGTTTAATTATGTCCAAGTCCATTTCCTTGCTCACATCATTAACCTCAATCTAACAGAAAAAACAGAATGTCATAGAGATTAGAGGACAAACCACTGATACATGAAAACAAACTATAGGCAGCTTCACTATTATGATTATTATTAAAACCCAGTTTGAATAAACAGCATAAACTAAGTGCTTTTAATATAAGCACTTTAAATAAGCTCAAAACATCTAATAAGGGCTTATTTAACTAGCCATGAAAAAGTTGTTTTCAGCTTATTATGATAAGCTCCATGAAACAGTATGTGCCAAATGAACATAAAAATGCTTTTGAAGAACTCCTAGGTCTATCCAAAGTATGCCCAAGCATATTCATCATATATATGTAACTTAATGGAGAAAACAAGCTAGGTTTTATTCTTGTTTCCATATAATCAAAGGAGGGAAGGAATTGCTTTTTCATAATATCTAAAACATAGTTGATTGCCATATATACAGCAGTTTAAAAAGGCATATGCTATACTTCTAAGAGCTATTTTGGCAAAAAAAAAAGAAACTGTTCAGTTAGGTCAAATGGACCTCTTAACAGTTCAGATTTCCTTCATCCACAATGTACACAAATAGGCAAATGGTTCACTATCAAAGACCTTTACATACTATTATCTCTATGGCAGAACTTGATCTATCAACACATCATACACAATTAAGGACATGAAACACCAACGAATTATCTCAATGCTGCACTATTAGTAAACCAACAGAATAGAACATTAGTATGAAGTATTATTTAAGCTACAATAACAAAGAAGAAGAAATTTCTATTCATGGAGCTCTAACAACAGTCATTCCTTTATTCACAATGGATGCAAAGAAGAATGTGTTTATTACCACACAAGACTTTTTTATACAAACATACAATTATCTTTATGAAAATATCCACCAACACACTGTGCACCCACAATCACATCACAGTCAAAGACTTTCATACAACTATGTTAATTGAAGTATTTGGTCCCCCAACAAAATGGATCTAAAGTATATTGGACTATTCTTACTGAAAAAAATAGAATAGAAAAAATCCAACTTCATATGCATACCCCACACTCCAAAAAAATAGGTCAGAGGAAAATAGGCGGAACTCATTGATGTTCAACATAACACTTATAATTGTTATTTTAGTCACATAACTTCTCTCCATTACATTACAACACGATTCAATGTGTTCGGCAGGTAATGCATATCTTAGAAACTGGTTTATTCATCCTAGAATCTTTAAAAAAAAAAAAAAAAAAAAAAAGCATCTTTATGGGAATGAGAAAAGCTTGTCTTTAGCAAAATAGTAAAGATAGTACTGCTTTGTCTTTGTTAGCAAAAATCATTACTAGCAACTGTAAACACTAAATAGACAATTACTTCTTTCAGGATTCTCAAGACTTGTAAACTTATTCTACCTTCTAATCTAAACAAATGTCCTACTACTTCTTTCTCAGTACTGCATGCTCTCATTATTTTGAATTGATTTTTAGCAGATTCATGTTATTAAAAATAAACAGATAAAGATGCCAAAAAAGCTACTGAAACATCCACATACAAAAACTGTAATATCATTACTGACTAAATAAGTAAACTCTTACCTCCTCGCGAGATACTGTCTTTCGATACCGCACATCCTCTGTCACTTTTTTAATGTAATTCAGAACCTTTTTAAACCCACTAAGCTGCAAAAGCATAGATAAACAAACGATATTGACAACAAAGAATGAAACTGTATTTCTTGCAAATACCATAAACATTTAACACCAAAATAGAACTGGTTGTAATCACAAAAATTAAAATGCTCACATTCTGTAGCTCAGAATATGGCTTCCACTGACAATGCAAATGCGACTGGCCTTTCCACTTTATCAGATATTCCATTTCATTCCAGTCGGGTTCAGAGTCAAATAAGTGACTTAACAACATAGGATGTGTTGATTTATTACTCCTCATGGCTTCTTCTGCCATGCCCTTTGGTTGATGCCATAATACCTTTTCAATTGAATCGGCATCTTCCTCTTCCAGCTCCTCCTATTTGAATTTTTAAATTTAAAAAAAAAAAAATCAGAAAATGGATGGCCACAATGAAACTTTCAACATTGCTTTAGATATCCAATTACAAATAGGTTATGTTAGCAAATGGGGGAAAAGGGCTCAGGACTATGCAATAAATACATAGCCCAAGAGAGTAAGAATAATAACAACAATAGTAACAGTGGAACTAGCACTTTCCAATTGCTACCATGTTCGCTTTCCAGTACATGATCTGAAAGATACTATAGAGTGAGAAGCCTGTCATATCTAATCAGTGATAGCATCTTAAGAACCACTGCACAATTGTTTTTAAGCTTGCAACAAGATTAAAGAGCAAGAAAGATACATTAGACACATATATAGCAATTAGCAAGACGACACACCTTTTGGTTCTTCTTTTTCTTGCATTCATCAAGCTCTTCACTTTCTTCACTCTCAGCATATGATACTTTTCGAACTGATCGACGACCTGATGTTCGCTGTTCACTGACCCTACCAGAAACACTAGCAGTCATAGATCGACCACTATTCTTCCTGCGCAAATTCCCACCTCTTCTAGACATACTCTGAAAATCTTCATCACTATCACCTTCAGAATCCTGTTCAGAAGATTCTTCATCTTCAAAAGATGCTCTGCCTCTTTTACGTCGAGCAGAAGGTGCAACATTCTTAAGTTCTCTGGTAGATTTCACATTACGACCACCCCTAGTTTGTTGCTTGCCCCTTGGTTTTTTATAATAGTCATCAGCTTCATCTAAGATATCCAGATCATCATCATCTTCACTATTATTCTCTTCATCAGAATCTTCACCCTCCCAGTCTTCATCCTTCTCCTGCATATGCAAGCAAAATATTAATGTATTACCCAAAGAAAGTTCAATACTTCAATCCAAACCAATAAGACAGCAGCAATTGAAGCTCCAAAATTTTAGGGAACTACTTCATATCCCTAGTTTTGCAGCCACTCATATTACCTATTTACTCATACACCACCAGATACTAACTTGCACCCAAAAGAAAGAATTGCTGCCTCCTCATACATATTACTGCTACTAATGGAAATAAAGGATGCTCTATCCTGAGACCAATTTCTCCGTCCTTGGTCAAATAACCAGCAGGTTTCCATTTGACTTCAAATAAATACCTATTGTTTTACCAAATTGATTGATGTTGTATGGTCACATCTCTAATTTCCTATTGCATTGCATTCCAACAACAAGAATCGTGGAAAAGCCAAATGCTTTGTAAAAAACTTGAAATCATATTATTTATTGAAAAAAAATTGAAATTTTCCTAATCTCTTTTTTCAAGACTTTTCAATTTGGTCAGGTTTCAATTAGTCCAAATTTTTAGATGCAAACTTTGTAATATAAAGAGAAGATTCCTGAGGAAGGTATATAAGAAGAAATATGGAATTATGGATGCAGTTGTTTTATGGAGGATCAAATGGCATCCCTAAACAACATAAATAAAAGAGACAAGATTTTCAACAACACCAATAACTACAACGGGAAGAGTTTATGAAAGCATTAATTATTATCATACAAAAACACCTTAGTTCCCCTGCGATCACTTGTAGTACCAAAATCAGGATCAAAATCCGCATCATCTGGATCATCTTCTGTAGGCAATAAGAAATAAGCAACAAATGTTAAATATACTGTATAATTGCACAACTAAAGAAACCAGATTATGTGCACTGGCATAATAGGTTAAGAAAAAATAGTTAGCACATAATGGGAAATACAATTAAAATTAAGCAGTTAGGTAATACAGTATACTATTCAAATGCAGATTCTGATAATAGGTGAAGTCTGCAATTACCATCTTCTTCTTCATCACCATAATCAGCATCATCATCATACTGGCAAGCTTTGGAAGGTTTTGGCTTTCTTGATGTATAACTGCTGGCAACAACTGGCCTGGCCGGCAATTTGGTAGTATAGCCACTACTACGGTTGGCAGCACGGTGATGTAAGGAGTCACTCTGATCATCACCATCCTGTTCATAATACTCATCAGACAGCATCTCGTCAGCTGGAACACTCCCACCCTTGCCTGCTTCTTTCTGTTGACCATCATCTTCAGACTCTAATCTATCCTCCCTACTACCATCAGATGACACATCTTCAGATTCTTCCTCATTTTTATAATCTGAACCACTCTTTGACTCCTCTCTTGACTCAGACCTGCCATTGTTGTGCATAGGTTGAGAGTCCTTCCAACAGCTTGAGCCCCATTTTCCAGCCACACCCACTATTCTTGTAGATTGCTGTTCGTCCCTTATCCTCTGAGCATCTTCAGAAGCACCATCCTGCAGCCTACTGGCATCATCATTGTCGCTTGAAGTAGCCTCCACCTCCTCATTTCCAGCAATTCCAGGATCTCTGTGGCCTTGTCCCTGCCTTTTCTCCTCAAATTCAACTGTTTCATTTGAATAATTCCTGTAAAAGGCCATATCCTCTATTACATGGAAACTTTGCTTGCCCTGCTCTTACTAAATGAGGTACTCTTACTAAATGAGGTAAATGCTTTGAATGGTAAGTGGATGTAAATAGAACAGCAGCTTATTAATGCCTGTTATCTTCCCTCCAAAACCCCTGAAGCAAAACATATTTAAATGTGATCAGTAAATTAGCATTTCTGAGCTACTAAATATTCAAAAATTGTGGATAATTGAAAAGTATTGCAACCCTAAATTCATTTCATTCAAAGAAAAAGACCCCGGACTTCAAATTGATAAACTGCGAAGCCCATTCATATAGTCCAAATGACTGCTATGGAAACAGGGCATCACATAAACCTCTATTCTCCAGAACCGGATTTCAAACACTAAGATTGATTAAAATTCATCGGACCCAGATAAAAGCAAACCAAGTTCAAGCAAAATGATGCAAATAAACAGATTCTACAGTGGAACCAATGGATCGGTCACCCCACACTCAACATCGAGCAAAATCATGTGAATAACTTCACAAATCCATTTCCTGAACCCTAAAACACGTCGGGACGGACAATTTAGAGCGAAAAAAACCCTAATCCCGGTGGGAGGCCGCAGTTAAATGGACCAAACTAGACAAACAGAGAGCCAGATGAGGCAAGCACATTTCAAAAGCCTCACCTTCGCGTATACGAAAGAAGATGGGCACAAATCTATATCAGGCTAGACAGATAGGCTGAGACTAGAGGAGTGCGCAGGCTAACAATCGCGCGCACCTAGGAGACTAACGTATCCGGTAACAGGATCGGCCGGCGGCGGGAAGATAGGGGTGTGCGGGTTGGGGGGACAAAACGGTGTCGTTTCCGCTTGGTTTTTTGACGAATTTGAGTGTTGCCGGGATTCCTAACCTACGCCGGAGTTAAGGATAACGATCGGTAATCGGAGCAGAGGTGAGCGGATTTACCCGGTCCAGGTTCGACGAAATTGAAAATCTCGGAAAATTTTTTCTAGAGAGAGACAGAGAGTAGCTCTAGAGAGAGAAATATAGAGAGAGAGAGAGAGGTTATCAGAAGGGATTTGTGAGAGTTTATTTTACACTTTTTGTTTGGAGAGACGTGATTATAGACTTTCCTAGCAGGACATGGGCACTGGAGGATTTCTGTAATTAATTTTTTCAATTTATTCTCTTAATTCACCTCTCTCCATTTTTATTTGAAATTTTTTCAACTTTTTTATTAGAAACTTATCTACTTCAACCCACCAATTTGAGAGAAAAGGATCAAATAAGTCCCTGAATTTTTTTCAAAAGGGCAATTAGGCCTTTAAACTTAAAAAGGTGCAATTAAATTATTAAATTTATCATTTTAGTGAATTTAAACCCAACACTCGGTAATTTTACTAAAATAGCCGGTCATCAAATTTTTCGGTGACAATTTCGACGAAATTTTGGCGATCCTTTGAATTAAAAAAAAAAAAAAAAAAAAAAAAAAAATCGGCGAAGGTCGTCAGATTCCGGCCGTCCCCGTCTTCCACTGGAGAAGACGATCAGACGGCCGCCTTCTCCACTGGAGAAGACGACCAGATCGGTCGTCTTCTCCAATATCGAAGGCGGCCGTCCGATCGTCTTCTCCAGTGGAAGACGGCCGGAGTTCGACGACCTTCGCCGAATTTTTTTTTTCATTCAAAGGATCGCCGAAATTTCGTTGGAATTTTCGCCGAAAATTTGATGACCGGCAATTTCAGGTAAAATTATCGGTTGTTGGGTTTGGATGCACTAAAATGATAAGTTTAAGGGTTTAATTGCACATTTTTGAAGTTCAAGGGCCTAATTGCCCTTTTGAAGAAAGTTCAGGGGCCTATTTGACCCTTTTCTCCCAATTATATCACATGCAACTTTTCTTTCTCATGCTAATAGTCTGGATGCAAGCTTCTCAATGCATTTATCAATCTCGTGTACTTCCCTTTTCTCATTTTGAAAATCAAATTATCATGCAAGCTTCTCTATGCATATAGATATAGATTTTTCAAAATAGATATAGGGTTTGAAAATAGCCTAAGGTTTCACTTTGAACCTTATACTGTACTTAATCTTTAAGGGTGTGTTTGGAAACCTGGAAAATGAGTTCTGGAAATCATTTTCCAAGTTTCCATTGTTTGGATGTGCCTGGAAAATCAAGTCAATGGAAATCATTTTCCGTTGACTTTGGAAAATAGGCTCATTTTGGAGGAAAATGACTTCCCCTTTTTTTGAGGGGAAGTCATTTTGCAACTTTTACACCAACATCACACCACCACCAACATCATCAACACCATACCACCGCAACCACTACCACTACCAACACCATCAACACCATACCACCACCGCAACCACCACCATACCACCGCAACCATTGTCGCCGCCACCACCACCATCATACCACCACCGCCACCACCACTACCACCACCATCGCCGCCACCACCACCACTATACAATCACAACCACTGTCGCCGCCACCACCACCACCATCACACCACCACTACCACCACCACCGCTGCCACCACCACCATACCATCGCCGCCACCACCACCACCATACCACCGCCACCACCACCATACCACCGCTACCACTACACCACCACCATCACACTGCCGCCGCCGCCGCCGCCACCACCACCACGACCATACCACCGTAGCCGCCACCACCATACCACCGCAACCACCGTCGCCGCCACCACCACCACCATCACCATACCACCGCAACCACCGTCGCCGCCACCACACCACCACTGCCACTGCCGTCATACCACCACCAGTTGTTATTATTATTATTATTATTGTTATTATTATTATTATTATTATTATTATTATTATTATTATTATTATTATTATTATTATTATTATTATTACTATTATTATTATATAACAAATAACACAACTACCACTACACCACCACCACCACCATAATATTTTTGATATATTATTAATTTTTTATTATATTTAAAATTATTATTATATTATTATACATGTTGTAATATTCGAAATAAAATAATTAAAATGTTTAATTATACAATTCTACTCATTTTCCAGAAAATGAACCAAACACACAAAAACAGTTTTCCAAAATGCAACCAAACACTGGAAAGGAAAATGTTTTTCGGAAAATGACTCATTTTCCAAAAAATATTTTCCAGAAGTCATTTTCCTGCTTTCCAAACGGACCCTAAATGTGGAATTAACCTTTTCAATGCAAAATTTGGAGAGCAGTGACTTATGCAAGAAATCTCAATAGTCTCATCAATCCTTATACTCAAGAGCTAAGGAATGCAATTAGCACAACTACTCAAATAACCTTGTAAACAGATGCCAACATATTACTTCACAGACTTAACTCAAAAGCCAAACAAATACTCAAAGACCAATTTCATACTTGTATGTTAATCATGCTTCTACTCAAAAATCATACAAATACAATTCACACTAGTTGAACCTCAAGGGGTCGAGCCTCTCCTCGACTTGATCTGGCGGAGCCCGCCACTTGGCTCCGCCAAGCAGCGGACTTGTGACAAGCAAAAAAATTATTTTCCTAAATTCTATTTTATAAAATTCTAAAATAATTATTTTTACTCTTTCAAAAATTTTTCTAAAAACGGTGTATGAATTAAATATTTTAAATCGAGATTTTAAATCAATTCAACACCAAGAAGTAGCCTATTTCGAAAATCCTAGGGGGCGTTTACTAACAGGAAATTTTCAAGAATTTCCGGAAATTGAAAATTGAAAACAGTTTAGGTGTTTACCATGTTTTATTCCCATTTCCAAAATTGAAAACTATTCTTCCTTTTTAAAAGAAATTTGGAACACAATAAAAAGTTGTTTCCAAATTTGAGAATACACGCGTGAAGTAGGTCTACCCATTGATTCCACCAGCCCTTTTTTTTCTTATTTCTTCTTTCTTTTCGATCTCTGCTTGCGACGTTTTTTTCTTATTTCTTCTTTCTTTCTGATATGCTACTTCCTCCTCAACATCGCTGCCGACCTGCTTTTCATCAACGAGAGGTGCTGCCTCCTCAACATCGCTACCCACCTGCTTCTACCGGAGAAACGATCACTGCCATCCTCTCGCTACCACGCCGGAAAACCCACCCTCACGTCTCCATCCTCTCCTCTTCACCAATCCAATTCGCTCATCTTCTCACTCACACCGCACCACCACCGCCGTCACTAGCCCCGCCGTCGGCGCTAACAGCCACAAGCCCACAACTCCTTGATACAATCTCTATGCAAGAAAGGCCAACTGAAACAAGCCCTTCATCTACTCTCGAAGGAGCCCTTTTTGGCGACTAAACTCATAAATATGTACTCAGGTTTGGACTGCATCAATGACGTACGCCATGTGTTTGATAAAATTTGCAACAGAACGATATGTCTAGAATGTTCTCTTCCATGTGTTATCTTTCGCTGGTCATGGTGATGAGGTCTTGGGCTTATATAGACGGATGATTAAGGTTGGCATCACATCTGATAGGTTTACGTATACATATGTTTTGAAGGCTTGTGTTGTTTCTAAGTCACTGGTGTCTCTGCTTCACCGCGAGCTTATCGACGATGGTAACCCAGTGATAAGGTACCAAAGAAATCAAGCTAGGGAAGAATAAAAAGCTAACTCCGAGAATTATTGCAATTAATCAAAAACGGAGAATTGAAAACAGAAAATTGAAAACAGAGAATTGAAAACAGAAAATAGAAAACGGAGAATAATTTTCTGTTAGTAAACGGGCCCCTAAGTTTCGGGTATATTTATGTACCAAGTTTTGACCCAAAAAGTCAATCTGAGTGAAACCTGTGAAACTTGAAGCAAATGTTTTAATTAGAAACTATCTTATAGAAAATCTATTTTGACCCCAAAATTGTGTAAAAATTATTTTTAAAGCCTTAGATGAAGCCTGATGATTTCTACAAAGCCAAAAAGAATGTCTGATATTTTGAACAAGCCATTTTACCATTTTTGCCCTCCTTACCAATGATTTTTCCACCTAGGGTTTTGGACCCCTATAAATACAACACTATTCCATTGCATTTCTCCTGATCCCCTCCATTTGCCTCTTCACTCCAAACCTTAGGAATCTGCTAAGAGAAAGAAGAAGTTATAGTAAGTGGCATCTGCCTTCATCTTCTCTATTCATTCATCTCATCTCTTAGACTATCCATCTTTGCCTCCCAATCTCTGAGTACTGCTTTAAGCTTTGTGTGTGTTTATGTTTGCTTGAGGAAAATAGGTGGTGAAGGTGGTAACCTCTGAGAAAGAAAGGAAGGGGATCCACACAAGAGAAGACCAAGCTCAAGGTATAAACCATGGATTCCCAAAACTAAGATTTTTGGTCTGATAAATGCTAGAATCTTGAGATTAGATGTTTAGAAATGTTAGAAAATACTTGTTGATGAGTTGTTTGTGTGTTGCTGATGTTCTATGATTGATTTATTGTGGTCTGGAAGCATATTTTTGAAGCTCTGTGTTGAAGTTTTGGAGAAGAAACCTCTGGTGCACCAGACATACCTTACGGCCCTAGCCAACGGATTTAGGGAAGATCCCCTGGCTAGAACCGTGGTGCAACAGACCAAGGGGACGGATCATAGCAAGATCCGTCACCCAAGGCCGCTGGTTGGCGAAGCCAAGTGGCGGGGCTTCTCAAGCCCCATCACCAAGCTCCGCCAGGCCAATGTTGAGAAGGCCGGGCCCTCTGTGGCTTAGCCATGTGTTGTTTTGGATCGGGATTCGTGGGCCCTTGAGGCTCGGACACTCGGGCGCTAGATTGAGTTGTTCTCTTTTGATTTTAGATTAAAAAGCATGTTAGCAGATAAGAGAAATGAAAGATGATGCTCTGTGTTGTTTAGCTGTGAACATGAGTCTGTGAAGGGAATTTTAGCATTTGAGTATATGAATAGTTGAGTAGTTATGCTTAATACTCTGTTAACTCTTGTTGAGAAGATTTGCTAAGTTATTGAATTTATTGGCATGAAGCACTGTATTTCCAACTTACAGTAAATGGGCATTTTTAGCATGTTTTAAAGATTAAATACATTGAAGGCTCTAAGTAAAACCTAATTCCCACTTGTTTTA